TCTCTGCCGTCCTTTGATGCTGGAGGGGTGACATGCGCCCAGACAGAAAATGATGAGTTCGGGGCATGTCGAGGACCTGCTGGCTCTCGAGCATCCCGCGCTGCGCGGGGAGGATCTTCCCGGAAGCCTCGACACGCAGCAGCTCACAGCAAAGGCTGCGCAACACAGGGACACGATAAGGACAATGAGGTTGGGAATGTGAGACTTATATATGATCTGGTGGTCCACTGAGTTAGGCGTCAGGAAAGTGTTGGGGGTGCTGGTTGGCTTTAATTCCTTGTTTTCTCCGGAAGATGATGCGCTGTGAAACCCAATCTCTGCAAGACTGCTATACTAACGACAAAGTTTTCAACATTGCAAGAGGAGTAGGCGGAACATGGCGGAGCAGCAGTTGTGGTGGCGGGTGGTGAGATGGTGGTTATACGATTCCTTTTCTCAACTGTTCCGCCATGGCGGGGAAAACGATGATGAGGAGGGCATTCTAACCAAGGAACAAGACCTGGGCCTCTGCGGAATGTTCTTCTTTAGCTGCACCGCCCTGAACGACACACCAAGCGCCAGCAGTAATTGGTACCTTTTTTTTTCCCCCCCGCATTTTTTCCGTTTTGCTTTGTATTTTTTTTCCGGTTCCTCTTGTTTTTCCTAATAGCAATAGTAAAAGCAATGGTATTAGTAATACTAGTAGTGATCATAATAGTAATAGTAATCGTAATAATAATAGTAATAATAACAGTGATAGTAATAGTAATAGTAATAGTAATAGTAATAGTAATAGTAATAGTAATAAAAATAACAATAGCAATAATAATAATGTTAGTAATAGTAGCAATGATACAAGTACATGCACTAGTAAAAGTACTAGCAGTAGTAGTAGCAACATTAATAGTGATAGGAATAGTAATAATAATGAAAATAATAATTGTGATAGTAACAGTAATGGTAATGATAATAAGACTAGTAATCGTAAAAACTCATACCGGTAAAAGTACTAGTAATAGTAATAGAAATGTTAAGGTTCCTCCTGCTTTTCCTAATAGTAATCGCAAAAATGACAGCAATAATAATTGTACTACGAGTAATGATGTTGCAGTGAGCACGGCGAAGTTGGGGACCTCTTGGCTTCCCCCCTCCGGGGACGTTAGAGTTTCTGCCATAGGGTTTTAGGGCTTACGGGACAGCCCCAGAAGGGTTTGTTTAGGTGATTATATAAGGGCATGCGGATATACAGGGACGTATAGGGTTTAGAGCCTACCTTGTCTACGTAGACTGCTGTGATATGAGAGCCCAAAAAGACAACAGATACGAGGATGGGGACCGCGACCCGCCTCATCCCTGTGACTGTTGACACTTTCGACACGCCCAAAAGATATGGGTGCAGGCGCTTACACGTGGCCAAATGCTGTCCTTCACCAGAGCTCGCAATGGTGTTGTTTGTCGTATTTGTAATATTCCAAGAGGCACAAATCTCCCTGATGTTGCAATATTCGTAGCTTCTCAAGCATTCCAAACGCAATGTACTCAACCTCTCAACAGTTCCAACTGGCGTACTTCTGCCGTATTTGCAACCTTTCCCACAACTCGAAATGCTGTTATTTACGGTAGCCCTTCAAGCAATGCAATGACAGAAATACTCATAACGTGCACGAACATGTAGGAGCTTGCGAAGCCGGGCTTCAAAAAAAAATAGTGAGAACATGCATTTCTTGCACACCTGGATTTGTTGAGCAACGCACTTGCATTACAAAATGGCAGGGGGTTTGGGGGGGGCGCAGGCCCCCCCATTGGAACGGCTTGGACAAAGATCAGAACAGACTAGCCTTTTGCAACTTTTACGAAATAGCGAGGGGGGTTTGGGGCGGGCGTCCCCTCACCCCATCTGCAAAACATGGACGAAGGTCAGAACACACTAGCTTTTTGCAACCTTCAATGGCTTGTTTTTTGCATCGTGCTTGCGTTACGAAATAACGGGGGCACCCCCCTCACTTGTACAACATGCACGACTATCAGAACACCTGTAGCTTCTTGCACCCCTCTGATGGGTTTGTACTGCCGTGTGTTTGCAATGTGTTTAAATTACGAGTTAGCTGTTATTTGCAGTATGCTTATGCTTATTCTTGCGAGGGCGCAAATATTAGTTTTATAATTGCAGCTCTTTCTTTCTTGTTGTTTTTCTCTTTTCTCTGAACGATTTTTCTGTGTCTCTTTATGTCTTTATGTACTTCGTTCTTTCTCTTTGTTTGATAATCTTGTTTCTGCGGCTTCTTAGTGTGTTTTTTCATTCTGGCTGTTTCTCTATGTCTCTCTCGCTTTCCCTTTTTTTTGCTGTCTGTGTATACTTTTCATATCGCTCTTTATGTCTTTCTGTCTTTGTTGCTTTTCCTCTTTCTTTCCTTCTTCCTTGTCCTCTTGCGTTCTTTCTTTCTGTCTGTCCCAGCCACGCCCTAAAACACTGAAGCAACTGGATCACTTTGCGTCCAGAACAAGAAATGCGCGCCAAACGAAGGTGATGGAACCTAGTCGTAGTAGTAGTAGTAGTAGGAGGAGCAGTAGTAGTAGTAGTAGTAGTAGGAGTAGTAGTAGTAGTGGTAGTAGTAGTAGTAGTTTTCTTGCTTGCTCGGTCGCTTGCTTGCTTGCTTGCTTGCTTGCTTGCTTGCTCGCCTGCTTGCGTGCAGCTGCCTTGCTTGCTTCCTTGCTTCCTTGCTTCCTTCCTTCCTTCCTTCCTTGCTTGCTTGCTTGCTTGCTTGCTTGCTTGCTCGCCTGCGTGCTTGCTTGCTTGCTTGCTTGCTTGCTTGCTTGCATACTTGTTACTTTCTCCTTGCCATCCTAATCTGGGTTTTGACCAATTTCGAGACAGGGAAGTCGCCAGCACTAGTTACTAGTAGGTCCGCTGTCACAGGCCCCGCGCAAAGCCTCTTCAAGAAGCCCCGAACCTGTCCAGTAACCTGTCCATTAAAGGCATCCATGGCCCGATGTTGCAGCAGGGGTGGCCCGAGTCGCGTACGCCAAGCGTAGAATGTCGGCGGGGCCTCGCCTTGATGCTGCGCGACCTGCGTGAAGTGGGCCGCAACCTCGCCCCCACGCACTGTTGGTTGGTGCGCAAGAAGCATAGCTGCGGCGCATGGATAGCTGTCTAGGACGCAGTGCTTCGTGTTGTTGCGATAGCTGATAGCTGCCAGGCCAGAGCTTCTTTGTCGATGGCAGCGAGGATGTCTGCGCGGGAGCACCAGCTCGAGGTCCCCTTTTCCCGTTGAGCAGAGGTTCTGCTGCCTTTGTCTGTCGCAGGCGCTTAATGCCGATGCAAGGCGGTTGGCGGCGGCAAGGAGTTCAAGCATGGCAAGGCTCGTGTATAGGTGCACACGCAATTGAGGCTGGCGCGCTGAAATTCCAGGTGTTCGTGGCTTCAGCTGCGCCGGCGCCTGCGCAGGCGTGTGGTTTGGCTTGTAGGCACACGCAATGAGAAGGTGGGATCTTGGGGCCAGTCCATCCAGGTGTGAGGCAGCGGTCAAGGCAGCGCTGTCGAGTCATTGGTGTCGTCCAGCTGTGAGCACGAACATGAGACGTTCGTTACAGTTATCTCTGCAGGGCAGGCTCAGTCTAGAGTAGACAGAGATAGAATGCGTAGCCATGTTCTGTCATCAGCAGCAAAGTGCAGGATTAGCTGGAACGACGCGGCGGCAGTCGGACCTCTCCGTGCGGCCGGCGTCCTTCGATGCTGCAGAGGGCCAACGCGGCGGCCGTTGTCCAGCTGCTGTGTCAACCTCTGCCGGGATCGGAGCAGACCACTCTTTGAAAGGCGTTGGAGTTGTTGCAACTGCACGCAGTCGACCTCGACAGCCAGTCGGGTCTGCGCAGTCTATACGCAACGCAACGCTCTGCTGAAGAAGCTGCATCCGGACAAGTTACGAGCGGAGCGGCCGGATTGGAAAGAGCAGGCGCATGTTTGCTTTATACACATGCAGCAGCTGCTCGCAGACAAGCAGCCGTAGCTTCTCCGAGCGCGGGTCCCCGGCGCCCTTCCTCGGGCTGGAGTCCGTGGGAAGACAGTTAAGAGTTGACGGTTCCTGGTTCTTCGAACGCAGCGTCGTACCCTGCGCAGGCACCAGCAGCTTCGAGGCCGGGCAGTTGGGACTCTGCACATTCCGGCCGTAGCCGCGGGGTCGCGTCCCGTGTTCGCGGCGGCTCTTTGGGAGTCGGTGCATCCATGGAATGAGGACCCCGAGCTTTTCCCTGCCACATCAAGCAGCCACTGGAAATGACCACGCAGCGAAGTTTGAACCTTCCGTTCCCGTGGCCTCCGAGTCCAAAGGAGAGCTACTTCTCGATCGGCTGGGCCCGAGCACGCAGTATATCCGCCGGCGGCTTTTCCGGCCGAGGCAGATGTCTGGAGCGGAGGCACTGCAGCGTGGATTCCGGGCACGGCGCAGTTCGACGGGGAGTTCGTATTCGGACCGAGCTCGGCAGGACTTACGCTGAAGCTGCAGTCTTTCGAGCGACGTGCGATCGGAACGCCAAAAAACTTGCAGTGACACGTGTTGTGTTCTATTAGAGCTCGCTGCTATCCGAAGGAGGACGCTCCCGCGTGCGAGCTGTTGGTTGGTGGGCAAGAAGCATAGCTGTGACGCATGGATAGCTGTTTAGGACGCAGTGCTTCATGTTGTTGCGCTAGTTGCCAGGCCAGACCTTCTTTGTCGATGGAAGCAGGGATGTATGCGTCGGTGGACAGCTCGACGTCCCCTTTCTTTCCTGTTCAGCAGAGGCTCCGCTGCCATTAATCTGTTGCAGGAGTCGACGCCGACGCAAGGCGGTTGGCGGCGGCAAGGAGTTCAAGCATTGCAAGGCTCGATTGAGGCCGGCGCGCTGAAATTCCAGGTGTTCGTGGCTTCAGCTGCGCCTGCGCAGGCGTGCGGTTTGGCTTGTAGGCACACGCAATGAGAAGGTGGGATCTTGGGGCCAGTCCATCCAGGTGTGAGGCAGCGGTCAAGGCAGCGCTGTCGAGTCATTGGTGTCGTCCAGCTGTGAGCACGAACATGAGACGTCCGTTACAGTTATCTCTGCAGGGCAGGCTCAGTTTGGAATAGACGGAGATAGAACGTGTAGCCATGTTCTGTCATCAGCGGGAGAGCGCAG